TGAGTTTGAACCACCGACCTTGCTGTTTGTAGTCCTGTGATGATCCTACAGTGCCACACCAGGAGTCCGGTGACCGGGTAGGACTCTGCAAATGTGAAGAGCTTGTGGCCGCCCGAACAGATTGGATAACTTACAAATAATGTCAACTAGGTGCACGGAGCCCTTGTGGGGTACAGACACACCAATAAGATGTATGGCACCCTAACAGAAGATGGATCAGTTTTGCCATCATTGTAGGTTTAAAATGAGACTTTCAGAGTCAGAAAGGGGGGGGGGGGTCTCATTACCATTACGAAAGAACAGCCAAGAGTGGAGAACAACCTGAAATCCCTACGCTAAATCTCTTCAATCCAAGACTGAGCGCTGTAATACCAGAGATAGCAAAAGGAGGCAAGCACAGGCAGAGAAGTGGGGGTAGCAGCAGCAGCAGCAAAACCAGCAAACTGGCAGAAGATTGGAAGGAGACAATCCCAGTCCACAGGCTGAGAAGGCAGATTGCCTTCAGGCAGAAGGCTTGCTGGTTATGTGGAGTGCCATCAGGGATTTATGGATGGAACTAAAAGAATTATTATTGATTATGTCTTTCAATTGTGTGGATCATGACAAGCTATGGATGACATTAAAAAGAACAGGTATTCCAGAGCACTTAACTTGTGCTCATGAAGAACCTGTACATAGACCAAGAAGCAGTTGTTTGAACAAGACAGGGGACACTGAATGGTTTAAAATCAGAAGAGGTGTGTGCCAGGGTTGTATTTTTTCACCATACTTACTCAATTTGCATGCTGAATAAATAATCTGAGAAACTGGATTATATGAAGAACATGGCATCAGGATTGGAGGAAGACTCACAAACAACCTGCAATATGTAGATGATACAACTTTGCTCGGTAAAAGCAAAGAGGATTTAAAATATTTACTGATGAAAATCAAAGACCATGGCCTTCTGTATGGCCTGCACCTCAATGTAAAGAAAACACAAATCTTCACAATTGGACCAATAAATAATATCATTATAAATGGAGAAAAGATTGAAGTTGTCAAAGACTTTATTTTGCTTGGATACATTATCAACACTTATGGAAACAACAGTCAAAAAGTCAAACTGTATTGCATGAGGCAAATCTGATGCACAAGACCTCTGGAGAATGTTCAAGAGCTTTCAAACTGAAGACTAACATGCCCCTGACCCAAGCCATTGTATTTTCAGTAGCTTTATATGCATGTGAAAGTTGGACAATGAATAAGGAAGACCTTAAGCAAATTGATGCAGTTGAGTTATGGTGTCGGAGAAGAGTATTAAAAGTACCATGTACTGCCAGAAGAACAAACAAATTTGTGTTGGAAGAAGTACAGCCAGAATGCTCCTCAGAAGGCAGAACGGAAAGATTTCATCTCTTGTACCTTGGGCATATTAAACAGCAGGGACCAGTCCCTGGAGAAGGACATAATGATTAATAAGGTGGAAGGTCAGCAAACTAGAGGAAGACCCTCAATGAGATGGACTGGCACAGTGGCAACAGCAATGGGCTCAAACATAACAATTGTGAGGATGGCTCAGGGCCAATCAATGTTTCATTCTCTTGTGCAAAGGGTCGTTATGAGTAGGAAGCAACTTAATAGCACCTAACAACAAAAACAACAAAAAACTTTTGTAACACTTACCCGAGTAAAGCAGAGTCCTGCAGACTGAGCTGGAGACAAATGTGCCTACCAGCATGGCTGAGAGGGTGATGTGGAATTGAAGGACTATATCCTGAGTGTTTCTGATCCTGAATTGTAGTCTGAATAATAAACCCCCTATGCATGGATATTGTGTTTAAATTCTACATGGCTATTGCAACAAATTATCAAACGCAGTACCGTATCGAATGCTGTGAGAGGTATGCAGATAACAGAATTGGTAAAAATGTTGAAGGAGGAGAGTTTCATCTCCATCTCACAGGCTCCCTGTGAGATGGAGTTGGCTTTTCTCTCCCTCTGGTAAAATTAGAGGTCAGACACTGCTCCCACACCATTTTTGCACTGCTTATTTATAATTTGTTCTTGATTGCATTAGACTAAATAAAATTATTTAATTAAATAATTGAAGTTATATCTACATATCAACTGATAAGATGATTAGTGTTGTCCTCACCTTACAAATATTTTCTATTAATAAAGGAATCAAGTGGCCCCATAATCTTTATCTCTACACAATCTATGTTAGTTTAGAAAGATAGCTGGTGGTGGTAGTGTGCCACGGAGTCAGTTTCAACTCATAACGACTCCATATAGGGTTTCCATGGCTGTAAATCTTTACGGGAGCAGAAAACCTCATCTTTCTCCTGTGGAATGGCTGGTCATTTCGAACTGCTGACCATGAGGCCAGCAGCCCACCACATTACTAAAGCTCCTTAGACAGATAGCTACTAGCAGTTACTTCATCTCCTGGAATTTTCTACTTAATGGAAACCTATTTAACATCTGGTTTTCCCTAATTTTATTGAGATAAGCAAATCTTTCCAGTTTGTTATCAAGGAAAGTGACCACATCCCCAACTTCTGTGATGGATTATATTCTAAACCAATCATTTTATAGCATTCACCTTAAATCTATTTTTGGTCCGTATAGAGTATATGACCTACACTTTCACAAACAAACAAAAAAAATGCATTTCTATTTAAGATTGGGAGAAAGGCTTCCCATAATTTTCTTCTACATAAAAAGTACAGGAACCTCAGTGACCACAGGCAGCCATCTTGTGAACATGATGATGAGGGCAATGCTGAAGATGGCAGAGGGGAGAGTAGGAAAGAACTTTGTTAACATTATTGAGTTCCTAATGATAGGTACTTGGAGCCCTCCCTACCACTAATCTTCCAGTTACAAGCATTTTCTGATTTAATTATTGCTTAACCCACTTTGAATTGTTGTTGTTGTTAAGTGTTGTCGAGTCGGTTCTGACTCATAGCGAGCCTGTATAGGGTTTCTGAGGAACAGCTAGTGAATTTGAACCGCTGACCTTGCAGTTCAAACTGACCTTGCATGCAGCGTCACACCAGGACTCCACTTTGAATTAAGGTTTCTATAATTAACAGACATATTTTACTTTCCCTTTAAAGAAAGATAAAAGAATATACTTAACTATCCTGCTTTCTCAAAAAAAAATCTTGATTTACACCAGATCTTTGAATATGTATATGATTTAGAAAACTTTTTGAGAAGCCTTGCTATTCATTTAACAAGGCACAGAAATTCACAAACCCATTACTTAAGAAGACGGCAGCTTTGTTATAAAGGTTGATTCAAATTTAAGAGTAGTTAAAACACTTTTATTCTACCATACACATAATCACACTTTCACAAGCAAGGTTAACTATTATTCCAAGCCTCTAGACCCATTGCTACGGATTATCTGTGCCTCCCCCTCAAAATATGTGGTGTTAATCCTAACCTCTATGACTGGTTAGACTACTTGTGTGGCACTGTAGGATAACTATTGGGCTGCTAACCACCAGGTTGGCCGATCAAACCATCATGTGCTCCTCAGAAACCCTACACAGGGTTGCTAAGAGCTCTAACAACAATGTTGTTGTTGTTAAGTGTCGTGGAGTCGGTTCCGACTCATAGCGACCCTGCACAGGGTTTCCGAGGCTGTAAATCTTTACGGGAGCAGAACGCCTCATCTTTCTCCCGCGGAACCGCTGGTAGTTTCGAACTGCTGACCTTGCGGTTCACAGCCTGATTCGTAACCACTACGCTACCAGAGTTCCTTCTAACAACAATAAGGACTGTGATTACAGCCCCATTTGAGAGGGACTGTTTTTGTTATGTTACTGAGGCAGGATTAGTGCAGACAGTGGATTAGGGCAACCAAGCAAGCAGAGATAGGGAAAGACTGATGCCAAGATGCGAGGACATATCCCAGAAAGCAGGAAAATGAAGCTGAGTCCCTAGAGCTGACAGAGACAAAGCCTCCCTCCCACTACAGCTGATATCCTGAATGCTGCCTTCTAGCCTCCTAAACTGGGAGAAAATAAAATTTCTGTCTGTTAAATCCAACTACTTTTGGTATTTATGTTACAACATCACTAGATAACTGTTTTGTAGTTAATTTAAAGTTCTGGCCTCTATACCAAAGCTCACCCACCCACATAAAAAAAAACAAGAACTATTCAGAAATCCTGGGCCCTAACAATTCTACTATTCTCCATTCATTTCCCTAAATTATTTTGATACCTGTTTCTCAGGTGTTCTGTGCTATTAGATGTTTTTCACATATTTCCACAGATAATAACTTACTAGTTTTGCAATCTGATTCTTAACATTAAGAGATTAAAACTAACGTAGATTATACTCAGATGACACATACTGAGGTATAGAAAAATTCCATCATTTCCTTCTACTAAATGAGAGAGATTTTAATTCTTTTCCTCAACAGCTGCTTCATTTTTTTATGCGCAGGAAAAAAATATGTGCAATTACTCCAAGTACAATCAAGTCATTTAACATGGCTCTACCATCATTGTAGTCACAGGATATTTTAAAGGGGAAAAAAAATCTCAAAGCACAGGTCCTGCTGTGCAGCAAAGCAATCAAATTCCTTCATAATAACAGCATGATGGGATTCAGCAATCCGGGGAATAATGAATAACCACTCTAATCAGTAAACAGGATAATGCTGCAATAGTCACTGAGTAAAAATTGACTATCATCTTTTGATTCTCTTGATCAGCATTTCAAACAATAAATAGAAATGTAAGTATCTTTTCAAAAAAGAAAAATAGCCTTGGTTAGTTTGTTTGATTTGCCAGGCAGTGAGAAAATGATCTATCATCATAGACTGTCCTGTAGCATTGACCAGCCAATAAAATGTTCATATAATGTTATTTGTAATGCATGGCCAAAGTCACCCTTTCACTTGAATATCTCAAGATACATTGATTGTAGAGTTACTTGATAAGGTTCTGTGGCTGGACTGATTACTTAATTTTATTTTTACTTCATTATTTGCTATCCTTCTTTAGTGTTCACATTATGAAGTTATTTGTATCTGAATATGAAGAGTCTGTTTCAAAGTAGTCTTCAAGTTTCCAATGCAGTGTCTCAAATGTTGGTCGTTCCTTTGGTTCTGCATTCCAGCACTCCAACATGATGTTGTAGAATTGTGATGGACAGTTAGATGGTTGAGGGAGTCTATAGTTTTGACCCAACATCTGGATTACCTGAGCACCTGTCATACCTAAAAATGTATAGAAAGGAACCAACAAAAGAACAAGTTAAGGAGCAGAGTCTTAAATTCATAAATACTTAAACTGTGGGTTACTAAGTTAGTTCATTTCCTTAACGAAGCTATGAAGTCTACCTACCATATCTTTTCCAGGCTTCAGAGATTAAGCTAAATCCTGTAGCAAGTAATGTTTATAAGACTACAAGTCAAGAACAAGGAGAAGGATGCAATAAACCACCTCATTAATTCAAATAATCATCATCCAATGTTATCTATTAAAGCTCCCACAGGCACATGGTGTGGTCAGCCTCATAACTCTGCCCTCTGAGTCTGGGGAAAGCAGTTAAAGTCACATCTAAGTAAGTGACCTGCAGCAGAAAGGCTCACTTCAGAATTAATTACTCACCAGTATAAGGCATTTTGCCATAAGTAATGATTTCATAAAGAAGGATTCCAAATGACCACACATCGGACTTAATGCTGAATTTATTAGAGCGAATGGCTTCAGGCGCAGTCCACTTCACCGGCAGCTTTATTTCGTGTTTAGATTCATAGATGTCTTCATTATCTACCTGTTAATGCATTAAGGAATCAAGCCAAATTAAAGTGATTTTTTTTTTTAATGTCACCCTTGTTCATCGATAACCTGCCTTGTTTTAAAATGTAGAGGGAAGAGATTCAAAATGAGTTTTAGTCTATTGATAATTACAGTAGCAAAATCAAATCTGGCAGGCAAGATTGAAAAATGTGTGGGAAGACACTAGTAAAGTATTTTACCGCCTACTGTGTGCCAAGAACAGAATTAAAAGGAGAGCTCCACTACATACGGGAGAATCGATGAGGACACTGGATACACACCTCTAGCAAACAAAAGAAACATCAGTCTATCTTCTGATTTCCTGTTGGTATTGAAAAATCACTGACTTTGATAATTATCACAGAGCCACATTCTGATACTGAAAAGTCGGATCCAAGTGATTTAAATTAATATTTCAACTCATTGGGAATCTAATTTGTTTACAAAATAAAGATATTAGTGAGGATCCAAAAAAGAACCATGCATTTAATGTGTTTCATGTCCCATATGTCCTTATTGTGCTGATACAATGTAAAAATTGAACTAAAAAAAAACAACAAAAAACCTCCGTATATTATATATCCTATGTTAGTGTCTTTTGACTTTTTAAAATCTGAAGGACTTCAAAAAGTTGGTGAAAATATTCCATTATCTTTTAGTTTCATTTTTCCATGAACTATTTGAAGCCCCCTCATACCATGTCATGAAATGGGGCAGGGGGATGAAAAAAGACAATAATTGTTGAAGAATTCTGGAAGCATGCAGATGAGCATGGCGTAAAGTGAGCAAAAGTGGGTAAGGTAACTCACTATGCAAAACGCTCTGCTTTTTGTGAGGATAACAGAAGCAGGTATGTAGATTATTGTTGTTAAAGTGCCATCGAGTCAGTTCCAACCCATAGCAACCTTGAACAGGGTTTCCGAAGCTGTAAATCTTTAAGGGAGCAGAAAGCCTCATATTTCTTCCACGGGGCAGCTGGTAGTTTCGAACTGCTGACCTTAAGGTTCGCAGCCCGATTTGTAACCACTACACTACCAGAGCTCCTAGGTATGTGGATAGCCAGACAAAAAGAGCTGCTGTTACTAACTGGAAATCAAAACAAATTTTATTACATACTTTCCAATGTAGTTAGTTATTGTTTTCACTATTTCTTTCTCCTTGGTGAATAAAAATGAATGGATAGGTAGCTTGTTTATGGAGACTTGGGCTGGTAAAATGGACTATGAACCATAGAACTTAAAGAACCTTCATTTTAAGAATTACATATTGGTATATTGAGCTATTAGTTTTTTAAATCTATTATAAAAACTAATTAAAACAAAATAAAATTACCTTAAAAACTCTTGCAAGTCCAAAGTCTGCTACTTTGTAAATATTATGTTCACCAACAAGGACATTTCTGGCAGCCAGATCCCTGTGGATGTAGTTCTGGGTCTCTAGATAGGCCATTCCAGAGGCAACTTGTGCTGCCATGTCTACCTGTTGAGTCAAATGGATTTTTGATCCTGCATCATCTAGGCAATAAAGGAAAGAAAAAAAAAAAAGTGATTTACTTTGAAGAACATGTAAACTATTGAAGTAAATCCGGATGAATTGTTCTGATGAACTACTGAAGAAAATTTTGATGAATGAGCTATCACTGGCATTAATTGTTATGACACCATTTTGTGGAATAAAGAAATAAAGGTAATACTCACAGTCCTGACATGGCAATGTAGGATAAACACTAGACTGCTCACTACAAATATCAAACCCACCAGTCACTCCTTGGAAACCCTGCATAGGGTTGCTATGAGTTGGAACCAACTCAATACTAAACTACAATAATTCAAAAAAGCAATTTTGGCTCCTGATGTTGTTAGATGTCATTGAGTCAGTTCTGACTCATAGAGACCCTGTTTAGGGTTTCTAAGGAGCAGCTGGAGAGTTTGAACCACTGACCAAACCGACCTACAGTCTAGTGTTTATCATACAGCGTCACACCAGGACACCTATGAAGAATTAATGAGGCAACTATTTTCAGAGTTCAAACTCATTCCAAAGCTGGGACCGCCAGAAGTGTAGCCATAGAAAACAGTACTATGGCAAACCCTGAAATTGCACTCCTGCCTAAACATCTGGCACCCATCTTTTAGCTTTACCATAATATTGACTAAAAATTTCAAGTCAAAGTCATTTATCTTCTTCTTAATACATTATAGCACTACAAGAAAATTACTTTGTTTTCAGTGATGAAAATTGGTTTATGACAAGCTCAAAGTTGTTCAAAAAATTTTTTTTTCCAATTTCTTTTCTTTCTACACTTAGCAGAGCAAATCATACAGTCTGCCTTGCCCCATGGAGGCTCTCAAATTGAAAAGTATTAGTTTTAACTTGCTGAATGATCTCTCACAGCTAGTGATGGAAACGGCTATGGTTAATAGAAACTGCTGAGTAGCATCTCCTTTCAAATGGTGCCTAGCACATGTATGTCTGCTGTGGTACAGTGAATTTACTTGATATGTCTCATGTAGCCATGGTCTTTGTAACTCGCATCAAATGATTGGGTGGTGGTTGTTGTTGGTTAAGTACTATCGAGTCAGATCCAGCTGATAACAATCCTGCATAGGTTTCCAAGAAGCAGCTTGTGGGTCTGAATGACCAATGGTGTGCTTAACAGTCCAGTGTGTATACTACAGTGCCACACCAGAACATAATAGTAGTTAGAGATAGTGGAACCATGCAAATAGGGTACATGCGATGCTAAAGTGGGGATTGGTTAGTTTTGCCATCCTGCTAAATTCAAAAGGAACCATCTCAGAAGCAGAAACAGAAGATCTCATGACCATCAAGAAGGAAGAGTCACTAGTGGAAAAGCAGTGGCAACAGAAGTAGTGGCATAGAAACAGAGTACACAGACTGAGTGAGGCTGACAGTCTTTGGGCAGGAAGCTCATTGGAAGAACTGGACACCATTTGACCATTTACCATCAGTGCTAAAGCAGCTTGCCTGAACAGAGAAGAGACCAAAAGGCCTTGCAGCTAAGAGGCCAAGGACAAGAGAGAAGCATGCCTGAAATATGGATAAGAAGAGGCATTCCTGACTGAAGAACTGATGTATCCTGAGTTGTTTCTGATCCTAAATTGTTTACTAATAAACCCAATAATCATGACTATTGTCTGTGAGTTCTGTGTGGCCATTGCAATGGATTATTAAATTCAGCAGAAGAAGTTAAATACCATGAGAGGGATGGTTGGTGTCAGAATACAATACAGAGGTTAGAGGATGGAGGCCTCAGCCTTGGGTTGGTGCTGAGTTTAATTTTCCTTCCTCTTTGTGTAATCATAGGAGATCAGACATGGCCCCTATGTCATTTTTACCAGATGCCTCTGGAGCCCTTCATTCCCTGAATGAGCATTACACATAGAGAATGGGAGCAAAGATATCACTTCTGGTCAGGGTTAGATTATTTACATCTCTTCCTCCTGCCAAGGTAATCCAAAAAGTAGAGTCATCAGCCAGCCTATGTTGTACATGTAAACACTTGTGCTAAGCCTCTGGAATTTGGGAGCTATAATAACAATTATATTATTAAGAGAGATAAAATATTAAAGTGGAAAAGTTGAACAGGCAGTTTGGATGTATAAATCTGAAATAAGAAAAGGATAAAACTTACATATAAATGGCTGTAAACAATGAGACTAAATAAGATTAGCAAAGAAACTAGTGATGTTAAGAGTCCTGGGGAACTCTAAGATACTGAGTGGTCTGGGCGATGAGGAAAAGCATATAGACTGAGAAGAGCAGCAAGCAAAGGATAGAGTAAAAGACAGAGAGAGAAGTGTCCTGGAAGTCAGCGAAGGAAATGTTTCCTGGAGGAGCAAGTGTCCACTGAAGCAGATGCTGCTCATCAATTCTGAGGACTCTGTTGACTATGAGATTTAACAATGTGAATGTTCTGAGTGACCTTGACCAAATATTTTTGTGAGAATCTCCTCATGCTTTGTCCCTGAGAACAATATGAAAGGGGTCAACTGGCAAGGTTAGTCTTTCTATAACATTAATCTTTAAAGATAGATAACTTATGCTGATACTGTTAAATTTGTTAAATTTGATATGGTGTGGAGCTGTAAGAGACGCACCAGATTGGATGGTTGGTTTGAACTTCAATGTCAGCAGTTTGAATCCACCAGTCACCCCTCAGAAACACTTTACAAACTCTACATCGAACCAACTCAATGGAACCAACTCAATGGCACGTAATAATAATAACAAGGCAAATGAGCTAAGTATATTTTGTTTTTAATAGAGTTTACAACAATGTTTATGTTTTGTTTTATGTTCTTTTCCCCAAAATCTACTTTTGCATCTTAATATTACCAGCTTCATGTGACTCTGAAATCAGAAGACAAACATATCTCTGTGTTCTATTCTTCTCATGGCTCTTTATGCATTCAATCAACACCAATTTGACAATCCAAGAAATAACAGAAGTATCTTTTACAGACATAACTTTTCTCTTGATACTTTGAACACTTCATTTTAATGTTTATTATATTGTTGTTTATTAAATTTCACAATGCCCTTAAGTCTTTCTCTGAATGGGGAAAGCAATGTGAGAATAAAGCAAGAGTGCATTTCTGCTTTTTAGTCTGAAAATTCTAATGTTACATTCCTGTGAAAATATTTTAAATATTAATCATTAAAATGTTGTCAAATATGGGGGAAAAACAGTACATACATAAAAACTAAGGTGGTGGTGGCAGTGGTCGTGTGTCATCAAGTTGGTTTCAACTCACAGTGATTTTGTGTAGAGTTTCTAAGGCTGTAAATCTTTACAGGAGCAGAAAGCCTCATCTTTCTCCCATGGAGCGACTGGTGGATTCAAACTGCTGACCTTGCAGCTAGCATCCCAACACAAATCCACAATGCTACCAGAGACCCCAAACAATTAAAACTGTCAAGTGTTGTCAAGTCGCTTCTGATTCATAGCGACCTTGTATGGAGTTCCTGAGGCTTAAGTCTCTGCAGCAGCAGAAACCCTCATCTTTCTCCTGCAGAGCAGCTAGTGGGCTCAAACCATGGGCCTTATGGTTCATAGTTCAGGACTTATCCTACGGAGCCACTGCACTCCCTAACAACTGGAGTACCACTCTTTTATTTCCCTTGAAGTACCCAATGATCCCAATCTTCTCCACAACAATTATTAGTCCATGGATTAGAATGTCCAATTTCTTATTGTAGGAAACAAAACATCATGCCAGACAACCATTCTTCAATTTCTCACATTACACTTAAGTACTCTGATATGTCTATTGTGAACAATTTGCTCTTCCACTACATAAACATTTTTCCTCTCTTTGAGTACAACATATATATTCTATTAAAGGGTAGCTGAGCCATCCAATGTTAAGCCATTCATTCTCACAGATATACACATAGTAAATATCCTTTGGGTTATAGAAAGCTTGCTAAATTGACATTTATAGGACTAGCTAAACTAAATTCCTTTTTTCCCCCTTTTATAAAGTCTGTAACTTACTTTGGAGATATTCTTGCAGACTTCCATGTCTCATCAACTCTGTAATAATATAAATTGGATCTTCTAAAGTGCAAACAGCGTAAAGCTGGATAAGCTTTGGATGTCTTAGGTTCTTCATTATCTGTGCCTCCCTCAGGAAGTCATTTGGATCCATTGAACCTGAAACAGAAAGAGGGGAAAATCACTTTATGTTATTGAGGCATTCCTATCCTCACAGCAGCCTGGTGGGAATCACCAAGATTACTTCCTGCCTCTCAGAAAAACAAGAGCATCAATGCCACAAATCTTCAGTGTTATCAAAGAAGAGAATCAGTTCAGGGCAACCTAATAACTGCGTGTCTCGGTGCATCAGGGGTGCGCAGTTTATGTGTTATGACCTGCAGGTGAAGAAAGGTTGATTCAAGTCTCTATGAAAAATGACGAAAAATGGAGAGACTGACAGTCTAATTGATAAAACAAGGCAGAAGTCTTAGAAGCACAAAGAGAAGGTGTTCTATTAACATGAACACGAGAAGACACTGAATGTTTATTACTTACAGCCAGAGTGTTTAAGTCCAGGAGTCAGAGAGTTATTTATTTATTTATTTTTTGCCCCGTCCTTAGCACTCACTATGTAAAGAGCTGGATGACAATCCCGAAGCAATGATTCTCTCCTTATTTAAATCCTGAATTCTATAGGAGCATACAGTATAGACCAGGGAGAAAACATATAAGGGCTACTCTCAGATCAGGCTTTCTCCCCAGTTTCATTTGTTTTACCGAAAGCTGACATGTGCCATTTTCTCCTACATTATCTTCTTCCTCAGTTGTTGTTAAGTGCCCTGTAGTCAGTTCTGACCCATAGTGACACTGTAGGGTTTCCAGAGCGACTGGTGGGCTTGAACTGCCCATCTTGGAGTTAGCAGTCCAGTGTTTATCCTACAGCACCAACCAAAACAGGGTCCAGGAGAGCCTTAATAATTTTACCAAATTATAAGGGCAACATTATTGGGCCTATTCTGAAGCCTAATCTACAAGTAAATTGTATTTTAATGGTTCAATTCTGATTCACCATGCAAGGTGCCAGGTAGTTAACATCAAAGAATGTCCAAGAGGAGGAAGAATTCCAGGATTTTACATTTCAAAAGTAATATAAAAAACATTTTACTTAGTTTAGGGAATTAAATGCTTCAGAGATACTATTACTATCTCAATATTCATTGTGGTTGTTGCTAAGTGTCATCAAGTTGGTTCTGACTCATGGTGACTCTGTTTAAGGTTCCCGAGGAGTGGCTAGTGGGTTTGAACCACAGACCTTGCAGTTAGCAGTCCAGTGATTCACTAGAGATCATACAAACATCATGTTCACTGATGGTCAGAGACCAACCACTCCATTTGCTATTTTCCCTAGCCTGAAGACTTCACAACTGATATTGGACTCAAGCATGGACAAGCTTTGGCTAAGTAAAATTTTGACTTGATTATTAATGTAAGTGAAGAAGAATTACATGTGACCCACAGATCTTTTTCACATGGAACATACAGGGAGTCTGTTCTTTGAGAGTCTAGAAATTCAGAACCAAGTCTCAATGTACTCTAGATTGTGATGAATCCCAACTCTACCATTAACTCATAGTATGATCTTGAATAGGCCATCAAACATCTCTCAGCTTCCGATTCATCATCTGTAAAATGTGGTTAATAATCTTATCAACATTATCAGACTCATGGGGTCTCTATGAGTCAGAACCGACTAATTGGCACTTAGCAACAATGGTTAAATATGGATATAGTGAGACTCCACCCTCTAAAGTAAAGAATCTAATTCATGAAGCTTCCAGTGATAGCATACATAAGTACCAATGACTGTTGACTCTTATTTTTTATGGATATTATGGTAAAACCAAACAGATAGTTGTGTTCTTTTCATAGGATAAGGAAGGGATGGGTAAGAACTTATTGAAAGCAAGCAGGAGAAATGTCTGTATTATCTTTTCCATCACATTTTCAGCACCCACAATATCTTCTCTGTCATTAGTTTACTCCACATAATCAAAATAGAATTAAATTGTTTAATCATAGTAGAAATATGGAACTTAGAATAAAAGAAGCTCCAGAATCATATAGACAAAGACCTTGTTTTTGATTGTTACAATTAGTTAGACCTATGGTTAAATACGGAGTCTTGGTGTGATACTATAGGATAAGCACTGGACTGCTAACCACAAGGTCAGTGGTTCAAACCCACCAGTCACTTCATGGAAACCCTATACAGGGTCACTATGAGTTGGAACCAATACGAGGGCACTTAACAACAAGAGCACTGGTAAATACGAGCTCTGGTGTGGCGCCCTAGGATAAGCAATGAAGGATAAGCAAGGTTAGTAGTTCAAACCCACAAGTCACTCTTGGAAACCATTTGCAGGGTCATTATTAATTGGAACTGACTCAGTGGCACTTACAACAACATTGTTAAATATGGGGTCCTGGTGTGGCATTGTTGGACAAGCACTGGACTGCTAATCACAGTTCACACCCACCAGACACTCCTTGAAAACCCTATATAGGGTCACCCAGTGAATGTGAGAACCTCTCATGATGGAAACTGGTTCAGGGAACTTCCAGCGATAACAGGAATTATTTATCACCACTCAGACAATTTATATATACAGTATGTTCCATATTAATTCTTGGAGTGGCCATGAAATTCATCAACTGCAAGACACTCAACTCCTCAAATCAGTCTACCCTGATTCTGGTAAGGTCTATTGGGAGCCTTTGCAGGTGAAAGCTGCTCAGAGCTTGCCTTAGTGACTACTCTGGTTGCAGCTGACCAGCTACAGGACAAGGGAAACCCAGTATCAGCTCAGCGAGCAATGCAACATTAAATATTAATTTTTGCCTGTCAAAGCTACCGTGGGAGTTTATTTCAGGCTTGTCTTTATTGTGTGGTAGTCTACTAAGCAATAAATAGCTGCTAAGATTGATTAATGGCTCAAGTGAAGTGAAGACATTTAGCCAATCACCAAAGCTGTTTGCTGCTATTATACTGTAAATCAATAATAATTATTCCTGTTGGAGAGAAAACAAGGGCAGCTTATTTTTTTAATATAAGAAATCTGATTTTTGTTCTCTTTTGACCTCCAGAAGGCCTTCCTCAGAGAGCAATGTTCAGATGGATAGCTAGCTGCCTCATTTTTGGAAAGGAATGATTAGATTGAACAGTAAAATTCAATCTCAATCGTCACAACAAGATTACAATTTAAAAATATATACAGTCAGTGAATGTGAAAACCTCATATGATGGAATAGATTGTCTTCACCTGGAGCACTCACATGGCATCTGGCCACTTAAAAGGGTTTTTCCTTTGTTTCATCTGGCAGATGTAGATGCTGGGACTGAACTCCCGTGTTAGCAAATTTGCACTCAGTGGACTGCATCTGTCAGCAACCCCACTGACGCTAACATTTGTTAAGAAAGCACTGCATATAGTTTATGTACATTGACTTGATTTGTCCTTATAAAACCCTGTACATTGACTTAATTTGTCCTTATAAAACCCTGTACATTGACTTAATTTGTCCTTATAAAACCCTCTGAAGTAGGAGCTATTACAATTCTCATTTTCAGATGAGGGGATTAAAAAATGGTGATAAATTGTCCAAAGTCACAGAGGACAGAGCCAAATTTGAACTCAGGTTTCTCTTATACCAAACATTAAGCACTTAACATTACACCTTGGTGGCACAGTAGTTAAAGTACCCAGCTGCTAACTGAAAGGTCAGCAGTTCGAACCCATCAGTTGCTCCATGGGAGAAACACATGACAGTCTGCTTCCACAAAGATTTGTTATGTGCCGTGGAGTCGATTCCGACTCATAGTGACCCTGTACAGGGTTTCCGAGGCTGTAAATCTTTATGGGAGTAGAAAGCCTCATCTTTCTCCCGTGAAACTGCTGGTAGTTTTGAACTGCAGACTGTGAGGTTCGCAGCCCGATTCGTAACCACTACACTACATGGGGCAGTTCTATTCTGTCCTATAGGGTCATGAAGAACTGAAATCAACTCAATGGTTTTGTATTATACTAGACTATCCCGAACTTTCTCAGTTCATGGCACCCTTCCTTTTTCCATGAAGCTCCAACATCAAACTGAATACTTAACTATTTTGTTTATTAAATAGTTAGGTACAAACAACTTAATAAATGTTTTGTGTTCCTACAATTCAATTATCATTATTGTTGAGTTGGTTCCAATTCACAGCGATCCTGTATAGGGTTTCCAAGGAGCTAATGGTGGATTTGAACCACCAACCTTGCTGTTAGCAGTCCAATGTTTATCATACAGCTTCACACCAGGACTCCAATAGTTATGTAAAAAGAGATCAAAATAACTGAAAGAAAAAATAGTTTTAAATTTCGTTTTTACATATAATTAATTACTCATGAGCTATATGCATCTATTGGTAAGTGCATGTCTTCTCAGATCTTGTAATCAAATTTAAAACTACTATTTTTATTTTTTCTACCACATTGATTTTTCTGTGGTAACCACTAAAAGTCTAACTTCATTAAAGGTATGATGTCATATAAAAGAGTGTAACACATTGAGATGTGGACTACCTCAGGTTAGATGTTTGTGCCATATCCAACATGTCTACCTCAAAACCTTTAAATATCCCATGGTACGCCTGTGCATTCACTGTGGTGCCCCTGGGCACCTTGGCACACTGTTTGGGAACCATGATGTTATACTATACTGCTAATCCACAGCAACCAAGTAAGTAAGTATTCAAGTTCAATCACCAGGAGGCTTTCCCAACCTTTAAGAATTCTAGACTACGTAAATTAATGGTGCTTCCTACAGCACTATTTTGTAGCCTAGAACTACTGCCTAGTAGATAAAAAACTACTGTAGTAACATTGTGCTTCTATAGAATGTTACTTCTGGGCAGTGTGATGTTAAGAATGAAGTTTCAAATCCCACCTCTGCCATTTACTGACTTCACAGCAATGATAATAATAATAGTTGACTATTGCACTGATTATGAACCAAATGTTCTACAAAGCATTTCCACTAATGACTTAATTTAATCTTCATAATTACTCTACTAGGTCTGTTTTCAGGTCCAGATCATACAAACAGTTTGCTCTTGTTTACTAACCAAAAGGTTGGAGCTTAAAGCCACCTAGCATTCCTTTGGAAGAAGGACCTGGTAATCTGCTTCCATAGGTCAACCAAACCCATAGAATACGGTTCTACCCTGAAACAAATGGGGCTGCCAATGGTTGGGATTGACTGACTGGCAAGAGCTTTGGTTTGTGTTTTAGGTTGGCCTTTATTATCTCTATTTTAATGATAAAATTGAGGTATAGTATGTGGTTCAGAAATTTGCTCCAGGCCATGTTGTTGTTGCTGTTAAGTGTTGCCAAGTCAATTCCGACGCACAGTGGCCTTATGAACAACAGAACAAAACATTGCCCTGTCCTACAACAATCTCACAATTGTTGTTAAGCTTCAGCACATTGCAGCTGCCACTGTGCCAATCCACCTAATTGTCATTTCCTGAATAGCTGAAATGTTCTAATTTTTTAAAGAAGATTTTTCAGTGAATTCAGTATTTTTTAATAGAGGCTGGATAAAATAAACTAAGGGGGAACACATCAGAAGACTAAATCTTAATTCCAGAGATATTATGTTCAAGTCTTGAATTTGGGAACATTTTAAGACTTAACTGATCCAATTACATTTTCATATTCTCTAATCTTTCTATCTAAAGTTCTGTCCACAGGTATGGTTACCAAGGGCCAGAGACCGACAACAACAGTATTTGGTACCATTGGCTGTCCCATGACCTCTTGGACATTTGCAATGGTAAACTCAGCTCATAAAAATGAATATATGCCATTCAACCTTTGAGATTCTTATACCTGGTTTTAATGTTTTCACTGCTACTGGAGTGGTGTTGTTCCATAGTCCTTCCCACACTTCCCCAAACTGACCAGATCCCAGTCTCTTCAGAAGTTGTACAGAGTTGCGGTCTATCTCCCACTGGTCGGCAGTTTTATAAGACAAATCAAAAGGAGTTGGGACTTGAATCTGTCTCAGAAAAAAATAAATAAAATAAGAATACTAGTAAGAAAAAAAGTTACATTTAGCTTGCTTTTCTTAAAAATGATTATCTAAGTACTTTTCAATGGCATAACAGTTTTTAAAAATAAAATATGCTATATTTTATTGCTACTACTTTGAAACAGAAAACATTTGTGGGATAATCTTCAGTCTTACCTCTTCAAACTCATCTCTTCCCAGCTCCTGCTATGTCAGGAACCTTGCTGTTCCATCCCACCCCTAAAGTCATCTTCACTTGGCTCTGAAATGCTGTCTCTTTACCTTTTTGCCTAGCTAAATCCTTCCACATTCAAAGCCCACCTCACCTGCAAATTCTTCCCAAATTCTTTGCCCTATAGCTTTTATCATTTGTACTATATATTTCCATAAGTTCTTTAAAAAAATTTTTTTCATGTTCATTTTGTCTTTATTTATTTTCTTATTAATTTGTTCCATAAGCAAATTTTTTAGGTACCAACTAGGTTCCATTCTGTAAACAAAATAGGCAAGGTCCTGCCCTCCTAGAACTCATGGTCTAGTTTATCATCTACCATTAGATACGAATCCTGTCTCCTCAATGAGGCTGATAGCATGCTGAGTGTCTGCATGGCATCAGTGTAAATGCTTTTCCCCCACCAGAATTCAACAATACTGGTCAAACTATATGGCTATATCAGATAAGATATTTGTCATCGTGAGTTTATACGTTCTTGTAATCCAAGTTACCTAAATTTATACAAGAATTGCATATGTACTAGGCATGATAAATCAGTTATTAATTATCTCCATGAAGTACTTCTGTTGTGATGCAGTAGGATAAGCACTGAACTGCAAACCACATGGTCTGTGATTCAAACCCATCAATTGCTCTTTGGAAAACCTATACAGGGCCACTGTGAGTTTGAACCAATTTGACAGCACTTAACAACAACATACTGGACAAAATCCTTCAGCTTCTACAGGTCCATAAATTCTGATCAAGTGTCTTCAGAAAGCTTTCACTTATCCCCGCTCCCAGGTATAAGTCTCAAGATTGAATGTCCCATCAACAGGGAGACCAGAATCTGACAAGGAGCCATGGGCTTGCCGCACAATGCAGTATGTTCTGGTGAAACATGTAAACAATTGAATAACGGTAGAAGTAGATATATTCTATTTAATGTTATCTCCTCTCCCCAAATATACCAGGTTAAAAATATCAAGTCATTTATTTTCAGCAACAGTTAAGAGCCTGGTAATTTATATTAATATTCTTATATACAGAGTTAGTTATGAATTATAGTCTAGCATCTTTTTGTGCCTCCAGACATATCATCTAGTGCTTCAGTGGTGGGGTCCTGGTGCAAAGGATTCATATTTGCTTTCTCCAGTAATTATCTTAGGTCAGGGATTATCAAAGTTTTATGTAAAGGACAAGAGAATAAATACTTTAGACTTTATGGGCCACATAGTCACTTCTACAAGTACCACCATTGCAGCATAAAAGCAGTCACCATAAGACATAAATGAGTAAGTGTGACTATGTTCTAATAAAGCTTAACTATATAAAGTGCATGGCAATATTGCCTCACTGACTATACCTTCCCTATTCCAGTCTTCCATCATTAAATGACAATTTTTATTTCTCAACAAACTTAGCACATGACAAACATTCCTATATCCAAGATTTAAAAGCTAGCTTCAAAAATTAACAAGCACAGTTTCAATGCATTTTACCTTTAAACATGGTTTTCCCAGTTTGACACACAGACCGTCACTTGTCTTGGTATAGTGGTTCACGAATTCATTCAGTGTTGAAAAGGTTTTTCTCCGGGTAAGGAAAAAGCCCCCTTCATCCAGTCTTCTGATTCTGTAGTGTTTTACAACACCTTCATCTAAAACTAGAGCCCAAGATAAGTTCTGTTAATAAACTTCTTGCCAAAGCTGTGCAAATTCATGTATTTTATGGGCATAGTGGTTATGAATTGGGCTGCTAACCTCAGGGACAGGAGTTCGAGACTATAAGCTGTTCTGCGGGAGAAAGATGAAGCTTTCTGTTCCCATAAAGGTTTACAGGCTCGGAAACCCTGTACAACTTCACTGTGAGTCGGAACCAACTCTACGGCACGTAACAACAACAACAACAATTTTTAGTGCATGGAATCAAAGTTCCACAAAATTCTATTTATTTCTTAAGTTTTTTTCAGAAAGGATTTAAGAACATATAACACAATAAAAAGGGAAATAAGGAAATCATAATGAAGGGAAAATGAGATAAAAATAAAACAGTAAGCTTAGAGAAAACAAAACAAAAAACAAAACAAAACCGTGCTTTGTGGATTAATATACTAACTAGAGGAGCCCTAGTGGTGTAGTGGTTAAAGCATTGGCTGCTAACTGAAAGGTCAGCAGTTCAAATCCACCAGCTGTTCTGTGGGAGTAAGATGGGATAGTCTGCTTCCTAAAGATTTACAACCTTGGAAACCCCATGGGGCAGTTCTACTCCATTCTGTAGGGCATTTGGAATCAATTCAGCAGCAGTAGAGTTTTTGTTTATGGTCTATGCATATCAAAACAAATCATAAAATTGACTCTATCATTCTAGCAATGCAAAGAAGGAAACATAATCCATTTGAATAAGCCCAGTGCCCATAAAACAAAATCACAACACTTCACCCTTCCTTGGCACAGAGACCAGAGTAAAATTTCTCACAAGAAATCCTATAACATGAAACTGACATAGAGTAAACAGGGTCCTAGGTACATCCCACAATAATATAGGAAGTTCTCTAAAATAAGCACTGGACTACGAACCACAGGGTCCATGTATACCATTTTCCAGCAGTTTTGTTTAAACCAAAGATAAATCCTTCAGCATCTAAGGAATGGCTCTGTGGGATAATGCACTGGAGCACAAGGATAGTTTAAACTGCAAGGTTGACAGTTCAAATTCACCAGTCACTCCTTGGAAACCCTATATAGGATTATATAAGTCAGAATCAACTCAAAGGCACTTAACAACAACAACAGTACTCTTTTTAATGAAGCATGACTTGCAATGGATATTACATTGTTTTTGAGTGACACTAACCCTTGTCCCTTTTTTTGGTAACAGCACACAATTTTCCTCAGAGAATCCCTGCTCCTCAAGAACATATTGAAGGAAGTTTGCACTAAATCTGGGCTACGAAAGGCATTATCAAAGTAATCAGAGTCAAAGAAACTATAATCCACAATTTGTGTGAAAGAGCTTCAGTTAGAGGCTTTCTCACAACTCCCACCCCAGCCTACCACCGGGAGTCAGAAGCTGCAAGCCAACTCTTGGCCCCAGACAGGAAGAACTACCTGGCTAAAGAGGCAGCACAATGGAAGGCAGTATCAGCCCCTAGAGACACCTGGGTTTTCAGCTACTGGAGCCAATTAATTACCTTTTCTGCTTACACTAGTTTGAATTGTGTTTTCTGCACTTCCACTCTATAGCATATTGACTAAAGCCCTTTATACCTATTATATCACTTAGCAGAGCTATTGATAAGTATTAAGCTGCATTTACCAGAACTGCAGCTATTCTAAGTTCCTTACTAAATAGAGAACCTGTGTTACAGTCATGAGTCAAGCAATGGTCTCATGAAAGGAAAGAGGATAGAGTAGAAGAGAGTTCAATATCAGTTTATTAAGGGCATGCTAATGGCTAGGACGTGGTTTTATTCAAAAAAATAAATAAATGGCATACAACAGAATAGTTCAAATAAAAAAAAGGCAAGCCCCATCAAGGATTGATAAGGAAGTGGAGTAACTGGAACTTATGGAAATTAAATTTTTACAACCACTTTTTAAAAACTGTTTGCCATTATCTACTAAAGTTGAGTATAATCATAACCTATAATAGAGTAATTCCTCTCAACAAGTGTACAATATATTCACCAAAAGACTACTTGTATATATATACAAGTGCCTAAACCTGGAAACAATTCAAACAAATCAACTGGACATTGACTAACAATTAGTGTATTTGTCAGTAAAATACTGTACAGAAAACAATAAATCTCACAAGAACAAAAATATGTCTGCTGAGGACTCCTGAACCCATGGACAAGGATATAATCACAGAGCGCTAGAGCTGAGAGTGAAGAGTCCAGCTGATATGAAGTGAGGGGAGATGCACAAGAATTCCCAAACTTACAGATAGTGCCCATGTGACCTAGCTTCGATGGCTGGATGATCAGAACTCAACTAGAGGAAGATAAACAAAAAAACCTATTTTGATAAAACAAGTGTAAATCAGTACAATATGATGAACTTGACTTATACTCTTGGATGTGATATCTTAAAATACCAACCAAGAGGGAAGGGATCTTTACAGCAAGGATCATTCCCATCCCCTCTATACACAGGGTTGATTGGGATGGGCAACTTAGACATTGGCTATCTAAAAGGGGGGTTCTGTAAAGGCACAAAGTTACTAACTTATAAGTTTTCAAGTGGGAGTGTAGTTTCAGAATGTGCAGAGGAGGGTAGAATACCCACTGAATGGTTTTCATCTTGTCTGAATGAGTTTGGTGAAAGGAGATGAGGATAAGATTTCTATGATTCAATAGTGAATAATTGTTATCATGGCTAATTGTGAGTGTCACAACTGTAAAGATAGAGGTTTTGTAGCAAAAAGCAGGGAGTAGTTAGACTTACATTCCAGGAACAGAAGACCCTAGGATCATCTAGGTAGAAGAGCAGGAATGGAATATGGGACCCTATTCAGAGAAGTAGCAGAGCTGGGGTTGGAGGCAGAGATGATGACATGGAGAGATAGAGCAGCTGAGGACTCTAGGCTCATGGAAGGCGAGGGGCTGTGTGCTGGCAGCCAGGGGGCAGGCTTGTAGGGTGTACCCTTTGGTTGTTTGGATGATTGTATATTTCTGAGTGTTTTGGTGTACATCCAAAAAAAACCCCAAAGAGAATAGAGGCAGGTACTGTTGAATTATGTTGCATAGAGGGGATTGCAATGAAACGAAATATGATAGGATGAGTGTAAAATTGATGCTTTCCCCCATGTAAACTATCACTACTCAATTCACAATAAAAACTTTAACAAAAGAAAAATAACTGTGTTGGGATGAGTTAAAATTTTTAAATCAAGCCAAACTATTGATATTAGAAATCATAGTGACTGAAGTGTTTTGTAATACTCTAGTTCTTGACTGGGTGCTAATGCCACAGTTGTTTGTGTTCACTTTGTAAAAATTAATCAGATTGAACTCTTATGAATTGTATATTTGTATTATATGTTATGGAGTCCTGGGGTGGTGCTGTAGGATAAGCATTGGACTGCTAACTGCAAGGTTGACAGTTCAAACCCACCAGTCACTCCTTGAAAACCATATAAAGGGTCACTATGACTTGAAGCTGACTCAATGGCACATAACAACAACATTATATGATATATTGTATCAGTTTTAAAATATACTAACATTTTTGGTTATATGCTCATTCATGGACAAATGGAAGGAAGATAAAGTCCCCAAACTGTTGCATCATGACCCATGCTAAATTTTTCCATTTGAAAAATTTTAAAGATGAATATTACTTAAATTTCACCTAGCACATCAAAATTTCTCGACAAGGTAACCAAAATGTCCATGTATGTACCTAAATGAATTGATTTGTAATATATGGGTATTTGCTACGAACCAGAAAAATGTCAAGGAATGCCAAACATAAATGAAGACTTTGGGTGTGAACTCTTGGATTAGAAGTTGGCCTTGTTATAATAACAATAATGGAATCAACACACTAGAAAAGTACAGCTGATCATTTAACCACACATCTTGCACTTTTATCCCAAAGTTCTTTTCATTGTATTCAGGGAGCATAATACGGCCACCACTCGTCTGTCTGTCGTGCTATGGTGGATCCAGTTACTGTGATTCTGAGGGCTATGCCACCGGTGTTTTAAATAACCAGTAGGGTCACCCATGGTGGACAGGTTTCAGATGAGCTTCCAGACAAAGACAGACTAGGAAGAAAGAGTGACAAACTACTTCCGAATTGCTAGTCACTGAAAACTCTATGAATAGCAGAGAAACATTGTCAGATACAGGACCAGAAGGTGGGAAGGCACTCAGAATGTGACTGGGAAAAAAAATGCCTCCTCAAAGAAGAGTTGACCATGATGACGTGAATAGAGTTAAGCTTGGGGGAGAAAAGCGCACAGAACCTTCATTTGTTGATGGGCCCAACTAAAAATGAAGAGATACAGTTGTAAACACTGAAAATTGGAACGTGGAATGCACAAAGTATGAATCTGGGAAAATTGGAAGTTGTCAAAAATGAAATGGAATGCATCAACATCGATATCTTAGACATTAGTGAGCTGAAATGGACTGGTATTGGC